CTGTTACCTGTGCACGTGACCTTATTTGGTAAAGGTTAATTGCAGATGTAATTAAATTGAGGGGCTTTGTTTTGTTTTGTTTGTTGTAAGGGTCTTGCACTCACCAGAGAGAGAGAAAGTAAGAAAGTATACCCTGCCAGGGGGATAGTCATGCCACAATCCCCCCTCCTCCATTCTCCTCTCAGGATTTGGGTATGAATGCACACATGCCCAGTGTATTCTTGAAGCCACTGGGTCCAGGACTCTAACCTAAAATCAGCCATGTGGGATCTAGCTCCCTTAGCCACCATTAGACTGGCCCTAAATGGAAGATCTTAAAACAATACTGGATTTAGAGTGGGAACTAGTCCAAAAACGGGTATCCTTACAAGATAAAGGAGAAGATTTAAGACATGGAAACATAGAAAAGGCCATGTGAAAATGGAAGCAGAGATGAAATTGTCCTGTCACAAGCCACCAGGATCCACCAGAAGCTGGAAAAGAGAAGGAAAGAGTCTCCCCTAGAAGGAGTATAACCGTACTGATATCTTGTTCTTGACAGCTGGTTGCCATAACTATGAAAGAATAAATTTCTGCCTTTTTTTTTAGAATTATTTAATTTTATTTATTATTATTATTTAATTTTATCAGAGAGAAAGTGAGAAAGCAAGGCGTTAGGTCCAGGATTCAAACTGCAGTCAGCCACATGGGAGTCCAACGCTTTAACCACCCACACCATCTGCCGACCCTAATTTATGACATTTTAAGCCATCAGGTTTGTGGTAACTTTTTGTAGCAGCCCTAGGAAATGAATATAAATGATAAGATCACCTTGGAAAAATTTTTGGCAGTTTCTTCTGGTTAAACAAAGAACTCCCATGTGACTCAGCCACTGCACTGTATACCCAACAGAAATGGAAACAGAAAAACTTACACATGAATAGTCACCACACTTTTTTTCCTAATAGCCCCAAACTGGACACAATCCCAATGTTCAGCAACAGGTGACTGAATAAACAATTGGTAGTACAGCCACACGTGGGGAATATTACTCAGCAATGAAAAGGGAGCATCTATTGATTTATGCAACAACATGAACACATGTCAAGGACCATTATGCCAATTGAACAAGGACACACCGTATGCATCCATCTACACAAAATACTGGGAAATACAAATGCATCTGTAGTGGCAGAAAATACAACCGTGGTTGCTTGGGGACCAAGATGGAGGGAGAGACTGACCACACTAAGGCAAGAGGAAACTTTTGAAAGGAACAGAAATGGTCTCTCTACTCACTGTCGTGGTTTTACAGATGTATACATCTATCAGAACTGATCAAATGGAGGCACGATACTCTCCAAGGCTGAACCACATGGGAAGGTTCCAGGTTCGAGTCCAGAGATCTCCCAGAGGACTCAGATCACATGTATGTGGGTCTCGTTAACCTGGGGGTGGATGGTAGCACAGGATCCTTCGGGAGATGCTCTTTCTTTGTCTCGCGCTCTGCCTCTCTTTCTCATGGAAGATACAAATAAGTGAACTTTTTACAGAAGTTCATCAAATTGTAGACTATACATGGGCAATTGACTGTACGGAAGTTATGCCTCGTAAAGTTTATTGGATAAACAAAATAATTCCAAAGTAACTGGACATTTCTTATTTAAGATTTAAAACAATTGTCTATACTTGGTTCTAGCCAATAACATTTTATAAATAAACAAGTTTTAAATCAAGATCGAAGACTTTTTTTAAACAATGATTTTATTTCACTTTATTTATTTATTTATTTTTAGGTTTTGACCAGAGAGGAAGGGAGAGAGAGAGAGAGAGAGCATGAGCAAACTGCCAGGTCCAGGATTTCAATTGTGGTTGGCCACGTGGGAGTCCAACGCCCTTAAAACACCATGCCACCTGCCAGTCTCTCAAAGACTTCTTTTTTTTTTTTTTTTTTTTTTTTTTTTTTTTTTTTTTTTTTTTTTTTTTTTTTGAGGTTTTTGCTATAGGGCCCATGCGCTCTCCAGAAAGAGAGAAACAGAAATAGAAAGCAAGAAATCACCCCCCCAGGGGGGATGGCCATGCCGTTATCCCTTCTCCATTCTCCTCTCAGGATCTTGGGTGCACACACACACACGCCCAGCATGAGTTTAAGCCACCAGGTCTGGGACTCAAACTGCAGTAAGGACATTTTTAAAAGCAAGCAGGAAAATAAGTTCCTCGATCAATTCAACATTTTTTACAAGCAAAAAATGGAAAACACAGTGAAATAAAGATGCTGTTCTGAGCCCTACTTCCACTTAGCAACCAAGTGGTCTTGGGTAAGTCCCAATTTCTACCAGCCTCAGTTTCCCTATCTGTAAAATGTGGAGGACATTAATAAGTACCTTATAGGCAATGGTTATATGTTCAGTGGAATAAGGCACAGATTGTATCTCAGCCGAAATATAACCTCACTGTCTAGCAAAGAACAGGTGTTCGATAATCTTTACAGAATAAATGAATTACATTAAAAATAAAACTGAAAGGTAAGAAAGACATGATATGCAATGCCACTGAATGATGTTCAACTATTTCTTTGCACTGTGTACATGAATACAAAACGGTCTTCCCCTTTGTGCCCATCCTTAGCACATTATCCGCATCATGTAGACTCAAGGATGGAAACTTCAGCTCCCTTGTGAAACATTGCTATAACACAGGTCGTTATAGAACAGAGTTCAGATTTAAAATTCTTAGGTGCATTGCCCTATGACAGACTCACTTGCTAGACTAAGTTCTGTGAGATGATGCTGACTAACATAAATACCAAATAGCATGTGCACAGGCCCTGTGATTTTTTTTTTTTTTTTTTAGATTTTTGCCATAAAGTGCATGCACTTGCCTGAGAGAGACAGAGAGAATGTCAGAAATCACCCCCCAGAGGGATCACCCAGAGTGATGGTCAAGCTGCTGGGTCCTGGATTCAGAGGGCAGTCCATCATGTGGGAGGCCAGTACCTTCATCTCCACACCACCAGCTGGCCCTGCAAAAGGGACTTTTTTTTCCTAAGGTTTTTGCCACAGAGCATGTGTGCTCACCAGAGAGAGGCAGTGAGGAAAGTGAGAACACATACACACACACACACACACACACACACACACACACACACATCCAGAGGGGATAGCCACTCTGCAATCCCTTCTCTTTCATTCTCCTCCTGGGATTTTGAGCATGCACACACGTGCACCCGGCATGATCTGAAAAAGGGACTTTTAAGAAGGCTATTTTGGGCAAACCAGTGGCAGGATGGTTAAGGTGGTTGAATCCCATATGGCCAACTTCTTGGTTTGAGCACAGGTCAAACAGCTTGAAAAACAATCCCAGGTGTATGTACCTGCATGGTCAAAATCCAGAATGGAAAAATGGAGAAAAAACTCCAGCGTGCCCATTCCCCATGTGGGGGCATTTCCTCACTCCCCCCCCCACCTCTATCTCTCTGGTGAGCCCTCACAACCTCCAGAAATTTTAAAAAGAAGGTGGCTATCTGATAGGTAGAAAGCTTCTATTCTTTGTGTTTTTTTTAATTTCTCAGTTACACTTTTTGTTTTTAAACTTGAGTCAATATAAACCTTGTTCAAAATGTTATGAAAAAATGTACATGTTTATACAAGGCAGGTTGTGGCAGGACGCTGGAGTTCTGCCCCACGGGTGACCCCAGGAGGGGCTGGAGTCACAGCCAGTTGTGTCTCTCCTCCCACCACCATCAAATGAAGTTGTGGAGGCAGGTAGGGGTTAGACTGTGCAGATTTCGTAGGCCATATTATGTTGTGTCTTGATTCTAAAGGCAACAGAAAGCCATAGAAGACTTCATTTCTTGTTTCTTTGTTTTAAGTTTTTGCTATAGGATATATGCGCTTGCCAGAGAGAGAGAGAGAGAGAGAAAGAAAGGTGAGAAACCATCCCCCATGGGGGATGGCCACCCATGCTCCTGGGGATTTGGGGCATAAACTCGAACCAGGTCAGCCATGTGAGAGTCCAGTACCTTAACCACCAGGCCATCTGCTGGCCCAACATAGAAAACTTTTCAACAGGTGGTTGACAGAGTAGGGAGGGAAGAAAGGGACATAATTAGAGTTGGGCTCATGTGAAGAGATTGGCTGTAAGAGGGAAGGAGAGAAGGAGCAAAGGAGTTAAGGTATAGTGTAGAGTCCACACAGACCAGTACAGACACTACTGCAGCAATCCATTACAGAGATCATGGTAGCTTGGCAGTGGAGACGGAAACCCGTGAACAGATTCCCAATACATTCAGACAAATCAATAAGACCTGATTTGAGGAACGAGAGAGAGGAAAATACTCAATTTTTCTAAGCCTCAATTCTCCTCTAAGACAAGATTACAGGTACTGTATGGGTTAAAATCTGCTATGTTGATGGCAGGTAATAATATAAATATTATGTGCCTAAAGCAGTACCTCACACACAATAGATGCCTAAAGAAACCGCTATTATTATTATTACTGTCGTCCTTGGAATGATAGTAATATAAAAATGCATGTGTGGATATGAAGTCACAGACTCTTACCAGCAGGCCAGTAAACGACTGTCCCAAATAAACACATAGGACCATACATCTATTTTATCTAAGCCGATCTCAGTCTTCAGAGACCATTATCCACGAGAAAGCGCAGCTGCTATGATCAGTCATCTTTGAACCGGGTAAACTGAGGCACGAGAGTCGCTACAAATTTAACCAAGGAATAGGTATACAAGCAGGACGAGGAGATGGGTGCCTTGATCCTCAAGTTCAAGCCTGTGCAACAGGGCTCCCGCCTGCACCCTGAGCAACACACATTTATAACGCCCCCTTCCAATGTTGCTTCAGGTTCTTCGCAGACAAGGCCCTGTCATTTCTTGGCTTTATACGGTGTATCGGCTCGCCGCCAAA